TCAGGGGAGGAGACAGGGAAGAGATGGAGTGGGGGTGGGGCAGAGGCAGGACACAGGTGGGGATCTGGGAAACAGGATGGGGGAGGCTGTCAAGAAGCCCCCGGCAAGAAGAGAAGTCTTCTTGACCCCATTCAAAGGAGGCTGTGACCCACTTTGGGGTCCCGACCACAGTTTGAGAACCACCCTGGTAAACGAATTGCTTTTGCTACAAAACGGCGTCCGTAACGAATGTGCAGTGTCATTTGTTCGTATTAAACAGGCTCTGCCCGAGAATCACAAATCAAAGCCACACCCTTATCTTTCGGGAAATTTGACTCTAGCGTCAACTGCAAACTTCACAGCTTGGTCACGTTTGAGCTGATACGTCAAACCCAGAGCTCCTGTCGCTCTGTTTGATCCAAAAAGATGAAAGCTTGGAAGAGGAGTATTCCGTCTCCTGGCCAAGCGGTTCCCCCACTTTGGCCTGTTACATTGCCTATTTGCATGCTAGTGGATCATCTTCTGTCCCTACAGCTGGCTGTCTTTCAGCCTGTGACGTCCCGGAGAGTATTTCAGGATGACAGTTGTTTCGTTACAGTAATATAGCATGGGTTTGTGTGCCTTGTATACAAACGTAGCACATTGAAGTTTTTATCTTTCTTATCATTGGCGCAAGACAAGGGCTTCAGCTTTGCATTGGTCCTGAAACACCGAGATTCTCAAAAATAATCGTCTAAAAATTAAGCTCCTACCCCCCATATTTAGGCCGAAGGAAGTGACCAGATCACCAGAGAAGCTGAACTCTGCCATCTCCCCCGGACCTCAAGAGCGGACACCACTTATATTATTTAGGCCGTGTTGGTTTCTGAGGCACTGTGCTTTGACTGGAATACTAACCCTTTAGTGTAGCAGTGTGCATGTTTGTGTGGCGATAGGCTGCGTGGGTCTAGGACAGGGGCAGGCAATCGTTTTTTGATGAAGGGTCACGTGAAGAATTTGGAAAGTGGTCACAGGCTGCATTTTTCTACGCTATTAATGGAGACGTCTGGGACAGAGTTTAGGTACAGGAGGGAGCTCTGGGGTGGGAATGGGGCTGCAGGAGGGGGGGTGGTTTCTGGGAGGGAGTCTGGATGCAGGTGGGGGTTCTGACGGCAGAGTCAGAGAGGGAGTTTGGGTGCAGGAGGGAGCTCTGGGGTGGGAACGGGGCTGCAGGAGGGGGGTGTGGGTTCTGAGAGGGGAGTTGGGGTTGTGACCTGGGGCAGGGGTCTGGGAGGATGTGCTTTGTGTAGGCTCTGGCCAGGAGACGCTTACCTTAGGTGGCTCCCAGCCAGCAGCCCAGCAGGCCCGTCAGGCAGGGCCCTGGCTGCTGGGGCCAGCGTATGTCCCTGTGTAGCTCATGCCCCTTGTGGGGCGCCGGCAGCGGGTCTCCACATGCTGCATGCATCTGTGAACACTGCCCCTGCTGCTCCAATTGGCCGGTTTCCAGTCAATGGGAGGCCGCAAGGGTAGTGCTGGGGGTGTGGGGCAGAGACCCCTTTCCTCCAAGGGCTGTGCCACACAGAGACACACATGTTGGCCCCAGCAGCCAGCTGCTTTGAATGGTGTGTGGGGCCGCTACCGACAGGGAGCCAGCCCGCTGGGCTAAAGCGGGCCCGATCCAAATCTGCCTGGGACCATCTGCAATAACCTCAGGACATATTTTGTCAATGGTTTATTTTTATTTGATTCCTTTCACTACCACACACGTTCCACAACCAGCAATCCCCACTCCGGCTGAAATAACACTAGGAAAACGGATCTTTTCTGGTCACAGGCGAAACGATGCTAAGATAGTCAAATCATTAATTATATGGTATCCTAAACATGCTTTAAAATACAGACACAGACTGACTCCATGCCCTAGAGAACGCATGGTTGAAAGCCCTGCTCCCCAAAAGGAATCCATATGGGTCCTATGTGACTCTCTTGGCAGGGTGAGGCCTAAGTTAAGAGAAGAATAAAGAGATAAGAAGGATACAGGTGGATTGGAAACCTCGGCAAAACCAGAAGTTTGGTAAGATTCACTGTTACACCCGCACTGCTCCTGGACATGTCTGACCTAGCCTTGAATGGTAGCCCCTGAGGTGTTCCTATTATTAAAAGCTTGGGAGGAAATGCAGCTGTATATCGGACCCCTCCCGTTTCTGAAATTACTCATCTCACTACAAGCTTTCGTGGTGCCCCAGGTAATCCTGCTGCAGTGCTGAAACATTATCTGTTGCCTGTACGATCTTGGTGTCAGGCACTCAACTGCTGGTATGTGAGCTAGTGACTCTGGAAAGAGAGTAGGTTTTAAATGATTTCACATATGGGAGAAACCTGAAAAATAACTGCTGATTTATTTCTGGACTGAGATGCAGCATGATGAAACTTCAACCAATCTGCCATGCTAGGATATAGCATTAATAGTGATGTTCAAAAATCCTGCTGTTCTAAACTTCCTCTTTCTGTATCGTAGGGAGAAAAAAAATGGTGGTAGTTGCTTTCCTCATTGTGAGATAAGTGTATCTCCTTCCCCCCACTATACTTAAAAAAAAAGCAAGAAGCAAAAGTCTAAAGGTAAACTTATTTATGAAAAAGTTCATATCTGAGCAGTGATCAAGCACAGAAAATGTTCAATCTCTTACAGCTATGACTGGGTGGGAAAAAGGAGGATTATAATGGAAATTGTTTTGTAATATTAAATGTAATTATCTCTATCAAGAACTGAAATAAAAAAATCGGTACTAAAAAGCAGTCAGCGCATGTTCAAGGACCTGATCTGTAAATACTTAATACAGGTTGAACCTCTCTAGTCTGGCACCTTTAGGACTTGTCTGGTGCTGAACCAGAGAATTTGCCTAACCGCAGGAAGTCAATGTTGTCCAGCAGCATTCCCAACTCATCCACTGCTTGCTGGGCTCTTAGGAGACATTTAGGGGTAAATTAAAGCTAAGTAACAGCCCAGAACCCTGAGAGCCAGGACTGGGGGCTGTAAACAAACTTTATGGGATGCCGGGAACCTTGGCCACACCCATGATAAGTAGAAATCCTGCTCACTAAAATCATGCCGGACCACGGATGTTGCTGGACCAGAGAGTGCCAGACTAGCAAGGTTTAACCTGTAATCATGTTCATGCATGCATAAAAAATCAAGGTCAGGGCCTAAATGATTATCCTACCTCATTACTCGACTGTGCTTCCAAAACAGTCCATAAATATATGCTCAATCGGTTAGGCATTATATATTGTTAATTATAGTAAGTCATCATCACGCTCATTTAAAATGCTATCTCACTGAGAATTTCAGGATTAAGACTAGTATCGGATAGTTGAGAACAAGGGAAACAAATCAAATTTTGCTCTGGTGGCTTAAAATGTAATTGAAGTGTTGCAGCTCTGAAATCTGTCTCAATCAACTTTCCTGTAGATTATAAAAAAAAATTTAATAGAGTACTGAATAATTATTGTGGTGTGTAAGGCAGTTGTTTTGATTATGCACATGTATAGAATATGCTGGAATCATCTGAGTACAGTGGCAAACCTTAAATAAACTTCAGCTTCAGAAATCAACATCTTTCTCTATTTTTCGGTTTGTTATACCATTGTCTACAGTAAAGGAAATGCATGTCTATAAATGGAGAATATTATGTTACATTTTATATTTATATTTTATTAAACATTATATTTAGTTGAATATATATAACTAAAATCTGAAAGCAAAAGAAGTAGTTTCAAGTACGGGAAATATTACTTTCTGATGCAACAGCCAGGTCTTGTTTACGTACAAACTTTCACTGAAATATTTAAAGGTGTGAATTAAAACAGATTTTGTGATTTCATTTAAGTCTGTGTGTGGATGGATACTTCAGATTAAGAGTATCCTATTTTGATTTTGCTTAAATTGGTAAATAATTGATCTTAATCAAATTCTCCTGGGACACTTTTATTCTGAAGTAAGTGTCCACAAGAGGCCAGCCATCACTGCCATAAGGAAAGGTAAGAATTCAAAGAAGTTTAATTATTTCAGTGCAAGTTGAGGTGCAGATCAGACCTAAGGAACAGACCTCTAATGAGTTATAACAGTTTCTCAAGGAAAGTTTAATTGAACATAGCTTTTTATGCACTTACCTGGTACCGTGTACATCTGATAGATAGAAACCCTTCAAAGTACAAGGGAAGAGCAGTAATCCTCTGTCTCTCCTGGAAGATCCGTCGAGGAGCTGGTTCAGGGATTTTCCCAGGCTCTGCCATCCTGCCTCCACTCTGTCCCCTAAATCTTGCCCGTGTGCTTTTCCACTTTCTATTCTTGCCTGCTTATCTACAGCCTCTGGCAAAGGAAAGCTAGCCCTGGTTTGAGAACGCAAGGTGACAGTACAAAGAGGAAGTCTCAGTGGTTACTTTTAAATAAACACACACCACACAGACCCTTTTCTCACTGTACAATCCGAGGAGGAACAAGATTAAATGGATTAAAGGGAAGTTTCCTAGCATGGTAGATTGTTTCCATCATGCAAATGAGAATTATGGCATTTCTTATCAGGATTATCATTACTGGATTTAGTTAGCGATCCCTCCCACAGATTCTGGACTCTTTACAGATGACCTGCAAAAAGAGAGAGAGAGAGAGAGAGAGAGAGAAATGTAGCACTGGTTAAAGTGACCTGCAAAGAGAGAGAGAGAGAGAGTGTGCCCATTGGCTTCCAAAATGTTTGTTTTGGCATTCTAACATTCTGCTTGGCTTTTTACAATATGAATGTCTGATGATTGCTTTTGCGGGAGATCTGGTGAAACCGTGACATCACAAGAGTGATTGAGAGAAGGTATTGTTAGTGAAAACTGCTGTTTTTGTTATGCAGCCAACAAAAAGGAGAACAACTTTCTTTGTGGAAAATCCATCATCCCCAAAAGTTCAGACAACGTGGGGGAGAGTTCCGTTTCCCTGGCTGACATTTTGGCCCTATGGAAGTCAACGGCAAAACTCATGTTGACTTCAGCAAGGCCAGAATTTATCTTCAGGTTTGTGACTATGCCTCAAGAAATAAGACACACCAAGGCATGATGAGATTTCCATAAGTAACAAACAAGCAAAAAGTATTTGAAGGCCTGCTCTAGAAAAAGGGGAACAACATTTGAAGGCCTGCTCTAGAAAAAGGAACACATTTTCCCCCCTTATTTTTGTGGGTTACCTTCATGGCTCCTTTTCTGTTTCTCTGCAACGTTCACGCAGATCCAACAGAGCTTTAATATATGTGACCTTCCCTTCTTGCAAGGCAATTTTTAGACTCTGCAATTACTAGGCAAAGATAACTGAAAATCTGGTCCTTCCCAGAAATATATAAAAGTAAAAAACTCTATTTTTAGTCTGCAAGCAATTCTTTTGTAAGAATTTGAGTTGACAGATTTTTTCTAATTGTGCTACTTTTGGCATATTTTTGTTGTAAAATGGCAGAACTCGACTCTACTGGGGAAATTCAGCAATGGGGCAAGTTTTCTGACATTCAATAGCCGAAGAAGGCCTCTACTGTAGGTTCAGCCTTAGAAAGCCAGCACAATCTAAAACCACCTTGAGTTCAAAACAGAAATCAACATGTAATAAAAAGGGTTGCTTTTTAATTATATTTTGATAGATTACAGCATGATTTGTTGAAGGTGTTGACCCCAAAAGATTTTATATTTCAACTCAGAGGTAGACCCTTGAGGTCTAAAGCATTACTCTCTAAATAATAATAGACTTGTCTCACCACTCTGCTACAGTGTGTGTGTGTGTGTGTGTGTGTGTGTGTGTGTGCGCGCGCACATACATGAATGCAAAACGAGTGTAAAAGACTAGTAAATCAGAATGGAACTCACACTGTAGGGATGTGAATCACTACATTAAAGTGGAGGATGTTGGAGAATCAGTTCCTCTCTTTATTAACTCTTATAAGAACGCTTCTTTTAAACAAAATCACCGGAAACAGCATGTCACATATTCAGATTCTCACTCTTTAATATAGTAACACTTTTTGTTACAGAGATGTGATGATTATTGCATATCACTCTACGATGTTTCTGTAAGCAGGAACTCTCTGTTTAAATAGCTTGCTTGTTTATACAGAAAGGATTTGTAAACCTTTTAACTATTTCTAAATAAATAATGTTTCTCTCTTCAATTACTTTTTGGGTTTTGTTTTGAAGTGACTGTTCTCAGTGAGTTGCCTTCTCAGTTCTGTAACAGTGTGTGAAGTATCAGAGGGGTAGCCGTGTTAGTCTGGATCTGCAAAAGTGACAAGGAGTCCTGTAGCACCTTATAGACTAACAGATGTATTGGAGCATAATCTGTTAGTCTATAAGGTGCTACAGGACTCCTTGTCGCTTTAACAGTGTGAGAGACAGCTTTCCCTTTGAATTTTTCATCTGGCTTTTTTATGATTTTTTTTTTAAACACACAAACTGTAGGATATTTTGAACCATTTCAGAGGTGATATTTAGACCTGTTCAAAGTTTCCCTTTCTTTCGAGATGTGTCATCTTTGATGAAACGTCATCCATGATACCTTCCCTAGCGGAAATGATCATTTTCGCAGTGAAAGAACCTCGTGACTTTGTGTTTTTTAATAAACTAAGCAAAACCACAACTGAAGAAACCCTAAATAAATTGCAGGCACCTCTGCACTATTGTTTCACATTTTCATAAAACTTAAGATTTTTCACTTGAGACATCTGCCTCTAGAAGATACTTTCCCCCCCAAAAAAAAACCTCTGTTAAGATGCTAATCTATATTGTCTTGCACTATGGTTCTTTTACACCACGCCAATGGAGCAAAGGTACCATAAAGGCAACAAAAATATTTACCAGGAAATATCACTAGCACAGAATTTTTTGGCATGCATACTCATGTCCATTCCATTTTAGGTGTGTGTGTGCTGGCCACATGTGCCAGGCCCAGATGTTTTTCCCTCAGCAGTATCTGTAGGGGAACGATTCTGGTGATCCTTAGAGTGGCGTCCTCATGGCGTGATATGTGCTTCCCCCACCCTCTGTTTTTTCTTGTCCCCCATGCTGGTGCACAGATTGTTCACTGCTCTATAGTGTTGCTTGGGTTTTGTTCAGAGCATCAAGTGTTGCATCTGTAAACCCTAAGTGGAGGACTAAGGAGGAGCGAGAAATCAGACTTCGGGCACTGCTGATGGAGTCGGCGCTCACTCCAGCACAGAGCAGCAGTCCCACTCAGCACCCACCATGGTGGCATTGGTGCTGGCACCAGCGCCCAGCACTGAGCCCCACCTGTGGTTGCGGCCAAGACACCCAGTAAGGCAGGTAGGCACTGGTCTCCCGCTCCCTGTAAGGGGGAGGACAGGCTAAGACCTGTGTTGGGCTCCCTGTTTGGAAAGACGGGCCCCAGCGGTGCAGCCCATCCCATTCCTGTCTGGGACGCAGAAGAGAGACTCTGTCTGCTTCAGGAGTCATCGGCGCCCAAAGCTCTCCAAGCTGCGCAGCAGATCCTGTTGTTCCTGGTGCTGCTCACACCAGCCCCGGCGGCGCCCAGTCCTAGGGGTATGCCTGCCTCAGGACCCATCCATCCTGCTTCACCTCAGCGGCATCACCCCCGTCGCAGGGAACATTCCAGCACCGCTCACCTGCAGGACGTCGACATGCCTCGGACTTGGGGAGCAGTCAGGTCACCAGATTCTGGGCGCCGGCAGAGGTCGTCAAGATGGACTTCGCTGGCTGCCTGGTGCAGATCCTCCAAAGCAAACGCCTCCGGGAGAGAACACTGGGATTGTCTTCATGTGTGTCCACATCCTTTCTATAGTGGGGGGCCCAGAACTGGACACAATACTCCAGATGTGGCCTCACCAGAGCCGAATAAAGGGGAATAATCACTTCTCTGGATCTGCTGGCAATGCGCCGTATTGGTGCCATTCTTGGAGGCACCTAACCCTATGGCTAGCTGCTAGGGGAAAAATCTACTGGCAACTGTGCATGGGTGGGTGCACACACCTGATGGGAATAGATATGTGCAACTCACCTCTAAGAACTACAGTTTCGAAAGGTTTTTATGGACCAGGTCACCGTCTTTTTTTGGATGGCACTGAACTCGCTATAATGGCTCTGCTGAGCCCTTTAAACTCCAGTTTAGAAGGCAGGCCAGGGCTAGCACAACAGTGACACTGAACTCCAGCTATTTTTGGCTGCTGGCAGGACTCCAAGGAGCTGCTCTGGCCTCAGACAAAAAGTTGAGCCTTTCCGAGCTAAGATTTGAAATTAGACTGTTTTTATTTTGAAATATTTGCCATGTCTCTCTGGACAGCTACGTATGCAAATCCCATTATAACATACGCTTTTAAGCGAAGGCAGATACAGGTTTCTGGGATAAGAAAAGTAAAATGTTTGAGGCCTCTCAGGGGTAGCTGTGTTAGCCAGTAACCTTAAAAACAAGTGGTCCTGTGGCACCTTAGAGACTGACAAAAATATATAGAGAATTATGAGCTTTCATTGGTAAAACCCATTCATCTGAGGAAGTGGGTTTTCCTACTAAAAGCTCATGATTTTACACTATTTTTGTTAGTCTCTAAGGTGCCATAGGACCACTCGTTTATATTTATAAGGTGTGAGAAGTTGCCTTTATCTGAATACATGATGTGCTTGTGTGAGAATTACACCAATGGATACAGATGGTAGAAACAGAGCTGGTGCCTGGTTGATAGTTGCATACATTTGAAAATAAGCCAGCCCTGACCACAAGAGAGGTACTGTAAACCAGAAAAAGAGGAAATACTCACCACTGCAGGCTGGAACATATGACGTCTGCCACAAGCAGTCTACCTAGCTGGTTGCCAAAAAAAGACCAAAATGGTCAAATGACACACCCTCTCTGTCTCCAATTTCTATGGGCCAGATTTTTTAAAATGGCCTTTGCTGCTTCTATTTTTAAGTGCTCACCTCTGGCACCAGTAGCCTAGATTTTAGCAGGGCTATGTAGCAGCAGCTTCTGTGAATCTGTTTGAGTGATGGGTGTTCAGCGCTGCTAAAAAAAAAAAACCAGACCCTTATACCTAGAGATGGGCACCACATATGTTACTCCACTTAGAAAAACACAATTCCCAGCATAAACCTGTAGGTGTGATATAAGTAATAACAAAAACAAAGGCCTCAAAGCGAGAGTAGCACTCGTCCCATGTTAAGAAGCCAATATGCAGGAACGAGACTTACACAGTGCCTATCGTATAAGGTTCGCTCACCTTTGTGAGCTGAAAACCACAGTCTGTTAACCACATTTCTCCTGAGGGCTGATTCAGTCACCCGGGGATTCGATAGCTGGTTTGTAAACCACTGTCTGAGGAGGTCAGGTATTGGGTCTAAAAAGCAAGGTTTCTAGCTTTGGATTTGGTGCACGACTTGCTGCGCTTGTTTACCACTGTTCAGAGGGACCGCAGGATGGACTGAGAGTTCAAGATAGGCTTAGCATGGACGGTGCAACAAGAGGGTGTGTACAACTAGGAGCTTTGCAAAAGGATGATATGTGAATGCCTGGTGCACGAGGGCATGGTGTGCACAAGGGGATAGTGTAAGTAAAAACAGGGGAGTGAGAACACCCAAGGAAGTGGTGTGTGTTTATAAGGATGGGTGTAGGTAGGAATGACGGCTGTGTAGCAGGAGGATGGTTGAGTGGGGGGAAGCTTGGGGGGAAATAGAGGTGAAAGCATATGTGGGGCTGTGGGTGGGTAGGTGTGGGTGCGCATTTTACAGCTATGTTAGGTCACAGGCATGTGGAATGGGTGTGCACTGAAACAAAGCCTGGTGAGTCAAGATGCTGGGAGGGAGGGAGACTGGCTGTGTAGGAAGACAGGGCTGGGCGGAGGGGATGGGAAGGTTGGGCAGATGAGTGTGCCTAGGTGGTGAGCTAGGTCTGAGGGGGCAGAGCTGGGTATGCAAGGGGGTGAGGCAGGGAGCCTGGTAGCACAGGGCAGCCGAGGTGTGTAATGCAGGTGAGTGTGCCCGGGTGACAGAGCTGGGCGTGCAAGCGGGTGAGGCAGAAAACCTGGCTGTGCAGGGCAGGGGTAAGTGAGTATGCCCGAGTGGCAGAGCTGGGTGTGCAAGGGGGTGAGGCGGGAAGCTTGGCTGTGCAGGGCAGGTGAATGTGGCCAGGCAGGAGAACTGGGTGTGCAAAGGGGGCGGGGCAGAGGAAGGTGAGTGTGGCAGGGCGGCAGAGCTGGGTGTACAAAGAGGCTCATACTACCCAATAATTGGTTTCTTTATAGAATCACTGTAGGGTAAACTGAGGCAGCCCTAAATGTGCTAGTAGGCCTCTAAACAGCATAACTCCATTCTAGGATTAAGGCCTGGAAACACCACAGTCAGGATAAGAACTGCAGACAGTAAAAGACCCTAGGCACCATAGCAAGCACGCTCTAAAACACTCGTACAGGGTCTCAGTTGGTAACATAACACATTTTGCTTAAGATAATATTCATAAAATTTGCTTAAACTGTCTTGCTTCACTCCTAGATAATAAGCCTGAGAACCAAGCGCTGCACCAACTCAAGGCCATACTATATGATGCTATAGCATCATCATCATTTATGCAGACTAAAATGTTATTACTGTTTTGCTGACATGTTTTGGCATTTGAACAATAACCACCTGGATATTAATAAGTTATTTTGCAATGGGCGGAGATATTATGTCATCTTTATTAGTTCTATTGGCTTAGGTGCTCATTTTGTCTTGCTGCTAGACCTAGCAAATCATTTTTCCTCCGTCCACCTGCTGACTATATAACCTATTGTATTGTGTTAATTAACCATGTTCAAGGGGGTAACCCCTGCCTGTCACTCCATCAGCTGGTGTATAATAAATCCTCCGCTTGTTTTCACCTGCATCCAGGATTATTTCCAACAGTGTGCAAGGGGGCGGGGCAGGGCTGGGCGCGGCGCAGGGCCGGGTGTGCAAGGGGGCACGGGCAGGTGAGCAGGGCTGGGTGTGCAAGGGGGCGGGGTG